CTGTGCAGGCAGGATCCCAGGGCCCTCCTGGGATCAACCCAGGAGCAACCTCTCTTGAGAACAAAAATAGGGAGCTGGTTTGCTTTTGAACCCTCGACAATACTTTTTCTTCTTTTTTTTTCCTTCATTTCAGGAGAAGAGGACAGGAAATGAACGACACAAAGGAGACGCCCCTGACTAAAGGATCCCTGACCTGTAGCTCGGACTGAAGTCTTGCATGCGTGAGCAACCGCTAGAAGCCAGCAGGACATGCATGTGTCCGACTATCAGACAAATGCGGGTGAATCGTCAAAAAGAAAAATACTGATTTTGTTTTGTTTCGTAGCTTCCTTTTTCCTGTACATAAGAGTGCAATTACTGGGCAGCTGGCGCAGGGTTTGGGGACGGAGCTGTGTGCACCTGGGTCATCGTAACTCAGTTCCTTGGGGATTGATTCCTGCAAAATTTGAGACCCTCTTTCCAATTTTCACTCTGACCGGGTGAGGTCACGCAAGGCGTCCTTCACAGGAGGTCCAGGGGGGGAGTTGGAGTTTTAGGCAATACAGTGAACGTGGGTGGGGGGCTGCGTCCCCCAGCGGGGTGGGATGTGCGAGGGCAGCTCATGGGGCCAGGATGGGCTTGGCGGTGGGCGAGGGCAGGGGAGGGAGGCAAAGGGGCTGTGGGTTGGGGTCACCAACCCTCGATGATGTCCGTGTTGTCGGTAGGTGCATTGCCGTGGCCGCTGCTCCCTGCTCTGGTGGCCGCGGTGCCTGCGGGCTGCAGCAGCTGAAAACGGTGCGAGTACCGGTGGTGCGGATCTCACGGATGTGTTTATGCATCGGGGTCGGGTGCGTGCGGTGGAAGGTGATGTTGTCGCTGTTTTTCCCGTTGTCCTGGTTGATCCCTGTGTTGTGGAAAGCCCTGCGCCTTCTCAAGCTCATCTGACACCAAAGTGCGACGTGGTCTTGTCAGTTCTCTGTCTGATGTCTCGTTAGATCCCACCTGCGCTATTTAAGCCATAGCCATCTGCCTCCTAGGGGCAGCCACTTAAAGCAAAGCATGATGATGATCGACTTTGCATTCTTCATGTCTACTGCTCTCTCCTGGCCACGCTTCCTGTACTTGGTTGGTTTTTAACTATTATTTCCCGAGCAGGGGTAGAGCTTAAGTCCTTCGGAACATGTCCATGAGTTCATGTCCTTCGGAGCATGTCCATGAGTTCATGTCCTCTGCCTTGGAGGACACCGCTGGCTTGCACAGGGCATCCTTGACATCGGTGATCCACCTTTGAGACGGGAATGAATGTATGCGTGTACATGACGTTGGCCTTCTCCGTGGGCAGTGTTTGTCGTGGCATCCCCTTTTTATAAGGCACTGACTTCATTTTATCCTCTTGGGATCTTTCCGCAAGCAGGAGTGACACAGGCTGCAGTGAGAGGCTGTGGAGCAGGAGTGGATTTTGGGATCCAGTAAATGGATCTTTCTCCATTGAGCTGCGTCAGCTGAGAAGCTGATAGTGAGTGATTTCCTCTCCAGCTCTCCAAATCCTCCCTCCTGTTTTCCTCATGTTCCCCTGCGATCTGTCCCGATGCTATTCAGTTAGCCAAACCCTATGTCTTTCCTTTCTCTTAAATTCCAGCAACAGCACTAGAGCCAGGGTTTTGGATAGCATTTTGCTCCTTTGCTGTTGTTTTCTTTTTTTCTTTTACTTTTTTGCCTCTTAAAAGCTTCCAGTGCTTTTCTGTTCCTCTTCCACCTGGGTGAGAGCTACTCTTCCTCTGTACAGTAGGTGCCGAATCTCATCCTTCCTTTCTTTTCTCCATCACCAGCATTCAAGATGAGCAGAGCCCCCAGACCAATGGGAATGTACAGAATTGTTATACTACTGAGTTGATTTGATTGTACAGAAAACCTTGCATGAAATGTTGTTCCTGTATTTAATATATAATGTCTTCAAAGAATTTTAATATGGAGCTCTTTAAAAAAGATCTTTATAGATACTCTGTGGTTAGAAGGTTGTTGTTGATTTTTTTAAAAAATATTATTATACTTTGTCTTGAAGAAGTTTTATTTTTCAAACGTGTTATGTCTTAATTGATGTAATTGGTGATCCCATGGGGCAACCAATTCCTCTGTCAAGATTTTCGCTGTGGATGAGACTCACCCTGGCGCAGAGGACCAGGGCATGACCCAGGTACTGCTTCAGCCTCCAAAATAAGGCTTCGGGAAGCTTTGTGCCATAGACTTGTGATTTGCCCTGCCCCAGAAGGGTGGATTTCATAGAATCGTAGAATCATTAAGGTTGGAAAAGACCTCAAGGATCATCAAGTCCAACCATCAACCCAACATACCCAACCCATTAACCCATGTCCCGAAGCACCACATCGACATGTTTCTTGAACCCCTCCAGGGATGGTGACTCCACCACTGCCCTTGGTTTAGTACAGATCATCTCCAGCTCTCTGTGCAGGGAGAGAACCGAATTTAATCCAGTACCAGCTCAGTGACTTCAGAGGAAATGGCTTCTGTGTTCCCCTGAGGCTAGAAACCAGTTTGGGAGAGGCTGGACTGGGTTCAGAGCATCCCAGCCCCATTCGTAGGGTCCAGCAGGGCTTGCAGCTGCCCCATGGCATCTCCCTGGGACTTGGTGGCCTTGGTCCATTGTGCCTGCAGGGACCTGCTTGGTCCATTCACTCCATATTGCACCACTGGAGTTGAACTGGTTTCTCTGGGCTTGAGGTCTGGTGTAGGATTATTAATTTTGCTCTTAAGGTCTGGTGGAGGATTATTAATTTTACCCAAATATGTATAGGAGTTTCTTGTGTAAAAGTCCCACTAATGAGTACTGAGTGATGGGTGGGGGTCTCTAAGGTAAGGAGCCCTGAAAGGAAAGTAAAAAAGAACTCTGTTTTAGAGCAGAGATGAAATAATGAAATTTTAACTCACTATTAG